ACAGCCTGTATTACACTTATTTGTTTAACTTTTTAGAGACAGGGTCCTGTTTGGTCGCCCAAGTTGGAGTGCAGTGGCCTGATAATAGCCCACCGCAGCCTCCAACTCCGGGGCTCAAGCAATCCTTTTGCCTCAGCCTCCCAATTAGTGAAGACTACAGGCCTCCACCACCATGCCTGGATAATGTTTTGATTTTTGTTTTTGTAAAGATTGGGTCTTGCTATTTTGCTCAGGCTGGTTGTGAACTTCTGGGCTCAAATAGTCCTCCTGCCTCAACCTCCCAAACCATTAGAATTACAGACGTGAGCCCCCATGCTTGCCCTGAACCTATATGACTAAAAATCTTTATTTTTACCCTTGTTAAATCTGCTGAGTTTTCCAGAGGTAAATTACTTCCCCGAGTTGCTCATTACATGTCATAATAAAAACAGCAAACACTTAGGCAGTGTATGCCTTGCACCAGGCACTGTTCTGGTTTATTCATTTGATCCTCACAAAAACCAACTACAGCAAATTGTACCTTCATTTTACATTGAGGAAATTGACAGACAAGGAGATTAAATAACTTGTCCAAGGTCATACTGCTACTAAGTGGTGGAACCAGTCTTTAAACACAGACAAAAGTATTTAAGATTTTTAAAAATAACTTATAGTCACACATCATATGTTACGTTTAAATGTATCTACTTACATTTTAAATGCTCTAATTTGTGAAAATAACCAAAATAAAAATACTTTCTAAAGATCTGACAGGTTTGCATGTGATACCATTATTATTTATACTACTGTTCTTTTTTATTTTTTATTTATTTATTTTTTTTTAATTTTTTTTTTTGAGATGGAGTCTCACTCTGTCGCCCAGGCTGGAGTGCAGTGGTGCTATCTTGGCTCTGCAAGCTCCACCTCCCGGGTTCATGCCATTCACCTGCCTCAGCCTCCCAAGTAGCTGGGACTACAGGCACCCACCACCATGCCCGGCTAATGTTTTCTATTTTTTAGTAGAGACAGGGTTTCACCGTGTTACCCAGGATGGTCTTGATCTCCTGACCTTGTGATCCGCCAGCCTCGGCCTCCCAAAGTGCTGGGATTACAGGCGTGAGCCATAGTGCCCAGCCCCTATACTACTGTTCATAACCTTTTAAAGTGGTTTCAATTATAAAAACTGATTTTATCCTACCTTGCATTTTACTTTGAAACTGATTTTTCCCCAGAGAGTTCTGCTTTGTGATTTTAATTCTGTATTTTATTTTGTGAAACACTGAGTCTAGATATGACTTTTGAACATAATTTTTATATAACATAACTCAAAAAAAATTGTCGTTAAGGACTAGGAAGCCATTTGTATTTTAAAGGAAGTTGATCTTCAAATGTCCTCTCAACAAATATTCTACTTTTGTGCTATTTCAATTTTATCTAGTTTACTGTAGCTCTTCACAATTAGTTTACCTGTACAAATGTAAAAATAAGTAAAGTAGCAATCTCTCCGATGGAATCGGTGTTTGAGTCCTTGAAGTTGACCACAGACTGTAAGTAGCACAAACTCCAATCGTTTTCTATTAAGGTTACTGTTTAATTTAAAAGACATTAAATCCTCTGTGTCAACCCATTAAGATTAATATGTGTGTTATTGATTCAATTTATGTTTTCACTTATCTTCTTGTTTCCTGAAATCCATTTTGATATGGCTTTACAATATGTTTACAACTTGAAATTAATACAAACCCTTATTCCTTAAACACCAAATAAAACCTTCATTTCAGGATTTAATCAGTATAGTCTTTCTGGTTCTTATTATTCTAAATTGTTAGATTTCACTTTTCTGTGCTTGGTTCTTTCCTCTATTTGAAAACTGTGTCAGTTGACATCTGTGGAGTTATTCGAGGAAGAACTGGGAGCTACCGTCCTCTAGAAGCCAGTATTTTTATTGTAACTGAAATTAGAATGTTTGAAGAATGGAAAACATTGTATTTAGCAATATAGGAACAAGATGAATGAAACCGAAACAGTCTTCTCAGTCCTTATACCACTAATAACATGGTAAGGCTTCAGCATCTGATTTTTGGCATTGTGAATACCCACTGGGCTCACACTTCAGACAGGGATTTGAGATAGTGGTGTATACCTTAGCCCTACTTACTTGCCTTTCAGTTGCCCCCAACTCACTCTCTCAGTCTGGATTGAGTGCATGCTTACTCCTTTCCTGTTCATCTAATCCCTCTGCCTGACCCAGTCCCATCACTTATATTGCAGAAATCTCCCAGTGGGGGTGTGTGTTGGGAGATGAAAATCATTGTCACCTCCATCCACAGACCCCTATACAAAATCCTGGCTACATGCTGAGCCAATGAAGTTTACTGATGACCTACTGCAGAATTACCCTATTCTTCCTCTTGTGCCTTTACACCACTTGGTACTTTGCACATGATGGGATGGCAAGGTCTGTGGGGGCGTCTGCCCTCCCTCAGCATGTCCTCAAAGGACTCAGTCTCCATTTCGTCTCCAACACTTAGCCCATTTCTTTGCACATACCAGGTGTTCGGAAATGTGCACCCAGCCTCTGACTGACTCTGCCCTCAAGCTTATAATTTAGTAGGAAAAATAAAGTATGCACACTATTCTAAAGTACATGGTGGCCAGTCATGGTGGCTCTTGCCTGTAATCCTAGCACTTTTGGAGGCCGAAGACAGCAGATCACTTGAGGCCAGGAGTTCAAGACCAGCCTGGGCAACATGGTGAAACCCCATGTCTACTAAAATTACAAAAATTAGCTAGGCATGTTGGTGCGTGCCTGTAGTCCCAGCTATTTGGGAGGCTGACACACGAGAATCACTTGAACCCGGGAAGCGGTTTCAGTGAGCCGACATCATGCCACTGCACTCCAGCCTGCGTGACAGAGCAAGACTCTATCTTAAAGTACATGGTAAAGGATGTAAATAACAGAGAAAGTGTCTTATGTGTCTTGTGGCTTGCAAAGACAATAAATACTTTTACAATTTCTGGATGAACAATACTAGTTGTCTTCAGAAAGAAGATACAGTTTTCACTTTGAGAGTGGGTTGGCATTTGAACAGAAGCCTGAAGGATAAGTAGGACTTTGGCAGACAAGAAAAAGTGGAGGAATAGGAGAAATGTATGCCAAGCTGAGAGAAATGCAGAAGGTAGGTGGGGAGTGATCCGGTTTAATGAAGAGTTTAAGAGAACAGAATGGAAAGACAGGTTGGAATAGGTGAAAGACGGTCTTGAATATTACACCAGAAGAGTAAACTTCATTTGGTGGCTGTGCAGACTTTTTTGACTGTTACCGAGCAGGAGTGTGATGCAATCAGAACTTTAGGGAGATTCATCTAGTAGGTTCACAGCTGTTATCTCCAACATCTAGAATACTACCTGGCATATAGTAGACCTTCCATAAATATTTTGAATATTTACAGAACCACATTAAGAGTTGTCATTTATTGATGTAGATGTGTAGAGAAATAAAACAATTTGGATGTGATATTTTTAGTTGACAGATATACACATAACTTCATCCTTGACCTTTATTTCACTACCTTTGGCATTCCTGTTACAATTATCCCCCACTGTGATGACTTCCATAACATAGGAAACCTAAATCCAGCTTCCTGTTCTTTCCCGGCGTTATTTGAGTTTTTCCCTCCAAAGCTACACAGAAGAAAGTCATCTAATCCAGGCCTCTTTCACGTGAAAGTTTGTTAGAATTTGTGTACAGTCATTATGTGCACAAAAAAGATTTCTCTTTCTAGGTTAAATATCCCCAGCCGCTTTAATTGTGTGACCATCCTAGTCACCATCCTCTTCATGTCTCTGGGATTAGCCAAGTGTGTCAGTGCCCTTAAAAACATGACATCAATACTGAGCAATGAGTCCAGAAATGTCTAAATTAGTACATTTCTCTGGCTTAAAGACTCTGGAAATATCCTCAACTAATCATTCTCTATATAATACTACCTTATCTGTGTATGATTCTTTACCATAAAAATATATATACTTCAAGCGCATTTTCCATGTCTCTCTCAATGTTATCGCTTCCTGGTTCAGGTCCTCATCACTCCAGACCTGCATCCTGTGTCTTGCTTTTCAGCTTTCTTGCCTGCTGCTACCAGATTTGTGTTCCTTAATCCGTGTTGTCATATGCAGGTCAGCAAGCACTCATTGATCATCTGTGGTGTGCTGGCCCTGCGCTCATGCCTCAAGGGATCAATTGTTCATGAGTAGGACAAGGCCTGTCCCTTAAGCTATGGGGGAACAATATTCATCTGACTATAACAACAGTAACAACATGCGGGAGGTTGCGCTGCAGCATGGATATATCCCCAGGACTGAGGACAGAGAGGGGCATTCTAGCATAGGTTTATGGAGATAGCATTTGACTAAGCTTTTACAAATTAAAACAGAGAAGAGGGTAAGAGTTACCCAGTCCAAGCAAGGCAGGTCTAAGTGTACACTAATTTAGGGGACCCCCTGAGCAGAGCTCAGGATGTGTAACAGGAAGACTGGTACTAAGTGACCTGGAAAGGAAGATTAGAGCAGTAAGGAAGGACCTTGAGGGCCATCCCTGGGCGTCTGTTCTGATGATATAGGCACACTAAAGGATGGCCAGGCTCCCAAAATGCATCTCCGGAAAACAACACTAGTAGCATTTCCTAGTAGAAGACATTAGGGTCAACATTTGGACAGGCAGTTCAACCAGCAAGCTCATGGAGAGGCAGCTGGCAAGCCGACCAGGAGTAACCCCTATCCCTGCCATGGCAACTTTGGGCGTATCATTAACTTGTGGGGTCCTCACCTAAAATATAGGATAAATGCTCATATTTCCCCTGGCAGGGTTGTGGTGAGGTCTGAGAGATAATGGGTATCCAGTCCGGCCTCGCTTACAAGAAGGCGCTGACTTAACTTCGGGGATGGCTGCCGCGGCCCCGTCCGCGCCGGGCACTGGCTACCGCGCCGGCAGCACCGAAGGGTACACGTGTCTGGGTCCCGCCGGCGGCCGCGGGAGGAGCCGCTGGAAGACTAGACGGTGGGCCGCCTGGCTCCCGGAACTCCGCGGCTGGCGGCTGAGGCGCGCGCCGGGCTCGGCGCCCTTTGCTCTGATTGGGCGCGACGAGGCCCAGGGGTGGGCCAACAGACAAAGGGGGAGGCAGGAATTGGTCAAGTCCGGAGAGAGGGCGGGGCCTTGGCGCGCGCGGGAGGCGGGAGTGGAGTCCCCCGGGCTTTCTCTCTTAGCCCCGCCTCCTTCCCGGCTCCAGCTGGGGCCGGCGAGGCTGAGTGGCCGCTACGCTGCTCGCTGGCCTCCCGGTCTTCCCAGCAACCGGTGACACTGCCCGCGCGAGACTGACCACTAGCCGGCGCGGGCGAGAGGGACAGGAGCGTGACCTCCCCATCCCGAGGGGCCGGACGCTCGGGCGCCTCCGCGCTCCCCCAACTCGGAGGCCGCGCGCGCCGTTAGCCCCTTCCTCGCTCCCCCGCCCCAGTCCCGCAGTCCGGGAGGCGGGGGTCGGCGCCGGCTGAGTGGGAACCACGCGGTGTCTGAAGAGCCAGTCGGCGACCGGTGAGGGGACTGAAGGGCAGGGGAGGGCACGGGTGGCGCGGGGCAGCGGTCCTCAGCTGTGGCTATTCTCCTCCCATCCGCCTCGGGCGACTGTTGCCAGCAGCGGTCGGGAGCGCCGCCCGGGCTACGAGTGACGCGGAGACACTGCGGAGCGAGCGATTGGCCGGACACGTCCGCGCGGCCTGCTCCTCCCAGGCCTTCCCCTCCGCCTGTCCTCCCCGGTGCTCCCCGGGTGACCTTCGGGGCTGGCGTCACCATGCCGAACGTCGCCAGGCTGAGCCGGCTTAAGGGGGCAACGGCCGGCACCGAGTTCTGGCAGCGTTAGACGCTCCCCACTACGTCTCTGGGGCCCGGTCTCGCCCTCCGAGTCGGCGGGCGCCACAGGCGAGGGGCTAGGGTAGGCTCGGGGTTGGGGAGGGGCTCGCCCGAAGAAAGTTTGCCCAGCAACTTGTGACGCGCGCCGCCTGAGGCGCCCCAGGATTGGCTGCGCTACTGTGGGTCACGGAGAGCGGCCTGTTCAGGTGCTGTGTTCCTCCTCCCGCGAATAGTTGTGCCCCGCTCTTAAGTACCAGGCACCAAGTCCCAGATGAGTGGCCAGCTTCCCTTCTTTCATGTTGGAGCGCATAGTTCGCGCAAGTGGAGCTATGGAAGCCCCATGCTGTGCTGCTCTAATCCTGTGAGGGATTCTTAGGGGTTGAGCGGGGAAGGACTGAAAAGGGCTGCAAACTCTTTAGGATGCCTGGAGTGGAGACGGGAGTTAAGCCCCTTACTCAGAGTCCCTCTTAAGAACTGTTCAGGGCCGGGCACAGTGGCTGATGCCAGTAATCCTAGCACTTTGGGAGGCCAAAGTGGGAGGCTCTCTTGAGCTCGGGAGTTCAAGACCAGCCTGGGCAACATGGTGAGAACCCTCGTCTCTACAAAAAAAATAATAATAATAATGATAATTAGTCGGGTGTGGTAGCACCTGCTCATAGTCCTAGCTCCGCAGGAGGCTGAGGCTGGAGGGTTGCTTGAGTCCAGGAGGGCGACGCTGCAGTGGGACAGTGATCAAATCACTGCATTCCAGCCTGGGTGACAGCAAGACCCTGTCTCAGAAAACAAGAAGGACTGTCCTAGGGAGAGTAAATCCTAAGCACCGGATTTCTCAGTGTTAGCAATTTATTTTTTTATTTTTTTTCTGAGACGGAGCCTTGCTCTGTCATCCAGGCTGGAGTACAGTGGCGCGATCTCGGCTCCTTGCAACCTCCGCCTCCTGGGCTCAAGTGATCCTCCCACCTCAGCCTCCCCAGTAGCTGAGACTACAGACGAGTGCCAGCACACCCGGCCGATTTTTGTATTTTTAGTAGAGACAGGGTTTCATTATGTTGGCCAGGCTGGTCTCGAGCGCCTGACCTCAAGTGATCCGCACCTTGGCCTCCCAAAGTGCTGGGATTACAGACATGAGCCACCGCGCCTGGCGAGACTTAGCAATATTTTGACCTTTCCATATGAAACACTATAATAATAGCTTTTTTTTTTTTTTTTTTTTTTTGAGATGGAGTCTTACTCTGTCGCCCAGGCTGGAGTACAGTGGCATGATCTCGGCTCACTGCAACCTCTGCTTCTCAGGTTCAAGTGATTCTCCTGCCTCAGCCTCCCAAGTTAGCTGGTACTACAGGTGCGTGCCACCGTGCCCGGCTCATTTTTTGTTTTTTTAGTAGAGACAGAGTTTCACCATGTTGGCCAGGCTGGTCTCGAACTCCTGACCTCAGGTGATCTGCCCCCCTCGGCCTCCAAAAGTGCTAGGATTACAGGCGTGAGCCACCACTCCTGGCCAACTTTCTTTACTAAAGTTTTCCCAACCAGGAGGATCAGACACTCCAAGTCTGCTATCGTAAAATCAGACAGCTAGTAATGGGAAGAACCAGAATTTGGATGCCTGCCTCTCTGGTTCTGCTACACAGGTTGCAGGCTCAACTCAGTAAACCAAAGCAGAGTATTTGTATATGTAGTGGGTAATGCTATGGAGGATAGGACGACTGTAGTCAGGTCCTTTCCTCCAGGGACCTAACATTTGGGAAAATTGGATTCCGGACTAATACATCACTTTTAAAAAGCACTGAATACCTTCTGTGTGCCCAAGTCCTTGCTAGGCCCAGGGAAGCTGCAAAAGATCTTACAGTCTATTCTCTCTCATCGGGGATGCTCTGGCCACTCTGGGCTTCAGGGTTGCCTGTGTCTCAAAAGGACAGGACAAACTCCCACTATGTATGTTCTCTCCTTGTCTACATCCATACCTTCTCTATACTTCCCAGATTTCACAGGAAAATCTTTGTGAAACCAAAACTTCCAAAAGAATGTATTTGGACTGGGCATGGTGACTCACACCTGTAATGCCAGCACTTTGGGAGGCTGAAGCAGGAGGATCACTTGAGGCCAGGAGTTCAAGACCAACCTGGGCAACAGGGCAAAACCCTGTGTCTACTAAAAATACAAAAATTAGCTGTGGTAGCTCGAGCCTGTAATCCCAGCTCCTTGGGAGGCTGAAGCACAAGAATCACTTGAACCTGGGAGACAGAGCGAGACTCTGCCTCCAAAATAAAAAGAATGTGTTGGCTCATGATCACACTTAAGCACTTGAGCTGAGAGCGAACTGTCATTCCTATTTCCACCAGCTCCTTAGACATAGACTGAATCTGAAGCTGGAAGGAGCAACTTCTTTTGAAGTATTGGATTTTGTTTGTTTATGGGGGAAGGAAGCAAGGAGTGGCAGTTCTGGTGCTCTGAATTCCATTCCCCATCCGCACCTCCTAGAATAGGACTTAAATCTTTCTGGAGTCGACAGGAATCCCTGTTTCCTGTTACATTCACTGATTAATATATGCTCCTTCCAGCTTCAGATTCAGTCTGACATGTCTAAGGAGCTGGTGGAGACAGGAATAACAGTTCGCTCCTACCCCAACTGCCTAAGTCTGATCATGATCCAAATACATTCTTTTGAAAGTTTTGGTTTCACAAAGATTTTCCTGTGAAATCTGGGGAGTATAGAGAAGGTATGGATGTGAACAGGGAGAGAACATACATAGTGGGAGTTTATCCTGTCTCGTTGAGACATGGGCAATGCTGAAGCCCAGAGTGGTCACAGCACCCCAGATTAGGGAGAATAAAGCTGAGCAGTGAGTAGGAGGGAGGTCTGGAGGCAGGGGGAGCCTCTCTGAGAAAGGGTAGCGAGTCCTGAATGAAGGAGTCAGAGGGCTTTGCCAGTAGAAGGAACTGTAAGTGGCAAGGCCCCAAAACTGCCTCCTGAAAGCCAGGGAAACTTCTACTCCACACCTATCTAGAGTGGGGAATGGATAGTTTGCTTCTGTCTCATCCAGATTTCAGGGCAGTCTAGGGGTATCACAGAATCCTGGAGACAGCAGCATCACTCAGGTCCTGAGGGGTAAGAATACAAGGAGAAGCCAGAAGAATCACCGCTCCTGATGCAGCTACAACTCCCACCCTCCCACCGCCAGATCCTGCCCCTCTTCTCATGGAGACCATTCCATTCCTGGGTCAGGGCCCCAAGATGAACACAGTGCACATGGAGCATTCCCTGGGGCCCCAAGTGCTGGTTCTTGGGGTTGGCATTTTACCCTCTTGTCCCCTGGCTGCCTGGTGCTTCCCTGTGAATTTCACAGCCAGGTCTTTCCCTGCTGCTCAGTGAGCTGCTGCAAGCCTCTTGGGGCCTTTACGAAGGGGTGGGGCTGCCCTAGGGAGAGTGAGAGATGGGCTACGTGGCCTGCTGACTTACTCCTGTCCCCAGACCCACCTGCCCACTTGTGCTGGATGACTGGACAAGCCTGTATAGGAAGCCCAGGTCACATCGGGGTTACTAATAACACCCACCTCAAAGGACTACTGGGAAGACAAAAGGGAAACACATGTACAAACATGTGAGAGTTCTTGTGTGTTAATACCAGTAACAACTGGTATGGTTTCACCTTCTGAGAGTCGCAGTGAGAGAAGGTTTTGCATAAGTCACAACCCCAAGTTCCTACCAGGTCTAGATGTCTAGTTTCCAAAACAGCAGGTAGACTTTTCTGGAGAGGGTGGCTAGGAACTAGGGCCTTGGAAAATGAGAGGAACAGCTCCCTCTATGCTTACTGAAGGTAAGGTCAGACAGGGTCAGTGACCTTTCCTCAACTAAAACCCTCCAAGGACTGAGGTGGGCTAGCCTCCCTTCAAATGTTCCAGGATTTGGAAAGGCCATTTGGACAAGCACTATTCAATAAAAATAAAATATAAGCCACATTTATCATCTTAACTTTTCTTTAAAAATGGGTAAAATGTATTGTGATTTATTTCATTTAACCTAATATATCCAAAAATATTTCAACATATAATCAATGCTAAACATTATTAATGAGGCATTTTCATTCTTTTTAAATACTAAGTCTTTGAAATGAGGAGAGTATTTGGCTCTTACAAACCAACTCGGTTTGAACCAGCCATGTTTCAAGTGCTCAGTCACCACATGTGGCTCTGGGCTACTGTAGTAGACAGCATAGCATGGAACAGTTCCCCTCGGCCCTATTCCCTGCTGCCCAGACCAGGTTTACCAACTCTGACTTCAAGATGACCACTGGTGTCTTGTGAATCTTGACTTTTTGAGGTCTTTTGTCCCACCCCAGAAATGCTGGCATGGCAGAACAGATAACCAGGGAAGAAACATCTTTATTCTGATTGAAAATAAAGATTTTCAATTACTATTCAATTATTCAGAAACAAAATGACATATGAAACTCAGAAGTTTATCTTGCCCCTATTGTAAAGTTTTTCCATTAGCTTATCTTCCTTCTTAGTACCTGTTTTGTTTTGTTTTTTTAGTTATATGTATAGTATTTGTTTTTTTTTTGTTTTTTTTGTTTTTTTTGAGACGGAGTCTCGCTCTGCCGCCCAGGCTGGAGTGCAGTGGCCGGATCTCAGCTCACTACAAGCTCCGCCTCCCGGGTTCACACCATTCTCCTGCCTCAGCCTCCCGAGTAGCTGGGACTACAGGCGCCCGCCACCTCGCCCGGCTAGTTTTCTGTATTTTTTAGTAGAGACGGGGTTTCACCGTGTCGGCCAGGATGGTCTCGATCTCCTGACCTCGTGATCCGCCCGTCTCGGCCTCCCAAAGTGCTGGGATTACAGGCTTGAGCCACCGCGCCCGGCCTATGTATAGTATTTGTATTAAATGCTTGAAAGGTACTTACATTATTCAACAATGAGAATTTTCGCCTATTTGTACATATTTCCCCCTTCCCTCTTTCCGAACTTTCCTGTACTTTTTTTCCAAAGTGAAAGAAATTTGGTGGTATAGCAACTTTAAAACTCACATTGTCAGGAGAGTGGGGATTACAATGATCTAGAAGTCACTCTCTTTTTTTTGCACAGGAATAATTTTTCTTTCAGGTTTCTACTTCAAGCGTGATCCCTTTGCTTGTGGGATGAGCTCCAGCATGGGGTGAGGTACAGAAGAGAGACTCAAAGAGCCTGCCTTGGGACTGAAGCGCCAAACCTGTACCCTAGCAAGTGTCTTACTCCACATCCGTAATGGAAGGAAATGGTACTGTTGTGTATATGCCGTTTAAGTGTTAAGTGTGCATGTTGGTATGTGTGCATTTGTCTTCCTTGGGCATGTGCCCTGGGAGAGGGTGGGCTCCTAGAAACATGGTTTGAGAGGTGCCATGGTCTCCAGATACCCAAGGAGGAGGCAGAGCACTCAGTGGGGCATGAGCATTGCTTTCTTTGGCATTTGGGATCAGCCACTGAGTCTCCAGGGAAGTTTTTATTTTCAGGAGGGCAAACATTCCTCTGAACTGACATCTAACCAGAATCAGCAGCCAGTGTCTGGATTGAAAGTCTGTCTGGAGGAACCAAGAATCTCTAAAGTCTACTTCAGCCTGGGTGTGATGGCTCACGCCTGTAATCCCAGCACTTTAGGAGGCCGAAGCGGGTGGATCACCTGAGGTCAGAAGTTCAAAACCAGCCTGGCCAACATGGTGAAACCCCATCTCTACTAAAAATACAAAACTTAGCCAGACACACTGTCATGCGCCTATAATCCCAGCTACTCGGGAGGCTGAGGCAAGGAGAATCCTTGAATCCGGGAGGCGGAGGTTGCAGTGAGCTAAGATCGGGTGACTGCACTCTAGCCTGGGCGACAGGGCAAGACTGTCAGAAAGTCTACTCCAGAGCTCCTGCTTGCACTTTTTGTTTAAAAATCATACTAATCATACTCTTTATATAAGATGTCTGGAATTTAAAATACTCTAGAGCTTCCCCCAACCAAAAAAAAAAGTGGAGTGGTGGTGTGGATGAAACAAGAATGATAAAATGGTGAGTGATTTGTGTACTATTTAGTTTTTTGTATTTTAAAATGTCCATTAAATAAATACCCTCCTCCTGAAAATATTTCCCTCCCTTTCTTCCCCTGCTCAGTTGTAATTCACATTTCCCCTTTTACTTCATCTCTGCTGGGCACAGCACATCCTACTCCAGAGGCACACGAGGAGGACATCCCATGCTGGCTACTCCTGCCCAGCGTGGTGGGGGAGCAGAAGCTCCAGAGCCCAGACTTGCAGGTTTGCTGTTTTCACTTTACCCCATTTGTATCCAAAACATAAGGACCCTGTCTATGGGGGTATTTTAACCAAAGGTCTGAGTATTTATGATGAACTTTCATCTGCTAAGAAGAAAGTGACAGCTGACTAATTTATTTTGCGTCCTCTCCCTGATCTGTTGAGCAACAAGGGGCTATACTGTACTAGCAACTAGACCTAATCTCCAGTAAGGCTGGAGACTGACCCATGGGCCTTGAGAGAAGTAGTCAGTGCTGAGGCTAGCCAGGTGAGGAGGGCAGCCACATTGTGCTCTTGACTAGAGGGCAGGTGAGGTTCTGTGCACATACTACAAAGGCTGACCCTGCTCCCAGACAGCTGCCCGGAGCAACTTGGCAGAAGAATTCAGGGATATCATGTGAGAGAAATAGGATAATAGAGCAGATTTGGTCTCCATAAAGGAGTTTTTCTGCTACTCCAGATTCTCAGATTCCTGTGGCTGGGACAGTGAGGAAATGCTGCAGAATGTTCATAAACAATATGTTTTTCTTGATCAGATTCATCATATTCAAACCTTCACAAACAACTTGGATATCCTGACAATTAATTATAGAAAGGATGCCCCTTCCTTCTCTCCAGCCTTTCCAGAAAACGGGAAAAGTGTTTCTCAGATAATGCCACCAACTTCTAATAATGTTTTTTGTGAATTATCTATGCTTCCGTTTTACCCCTTCCCTGGGTCTTGAGTTGCTTTCTCAACTTTGGGGCTGTATACTGGCATGGGGTAGTGTGTTTATCAAGTGCTGTCCAAAGCCAAGGAACAATATTTTGGAGTTTCTCAGATACGTTCCCTTGGCCAGGCCCCAGCCCCTTCTGTAACTTCAGGGTCTGAACCCTTTGCTTAGGCTGTGACTGTTTGTGCTTCATCACATTACCCGCTTTGTTCTTCCAGCCCAAGCCTGGCTGGGTTCATGTCAGTGACTCAGGAAAGCTGGGTCTTGGAGGAAGGCGTTGGTATAGTCTAAACGCAGGGGACTTCTCACTGCCCCATCCCGCCTTGGTCATTTCCTAATGTATCCCCAGACAAGGATCCCCATCTAAGGCCAGCAAACAGGCTTGGCGTTCCCTTCCCTCAGAGCAGTGTTGATGGTTCCCATGCTAATGCAAGCTCCCCTTTGAATCCATTCCTGTTTGTTCTCCAGGACACTTGTAGTTTCCCTCCTGCCCTTCCAAGTGGTTCAAGGACACCCCCTCCGTATTTCCGGGATGCCCATGGCTTTGCTTTGTCTTGGGGAAGGGAATCCTGGAGATGGACTACCTAAAGAAGTTATAACAAATAGGGAGTTCGTGTTCCCCTCTCCATTCCTTAGGAGCTGCTGCAGAGGCTCACAATGACCTTCTCCCCACAGGCTCACGGTGCAGGGTGAACCTGGCCACAGCTTACCTCTGGAACAGCCGCAGTGTCTGCCCTTAGAGAAGAACCCTGAAATCAGACCCGTTTTTGCGGCCTCCCCGTTTCCTCTCTGTTACAGTGCTCTTTCCAGGCCTTAAGAGAAGTAAAACTTAGCCGCAGCGTCAGGAGGTGGACCCCCGAATGTGAGCGGCACGGTTCCCTGTGAACCCATCCTCACCATGTTTGCCACATCTGGGGCAGTGGCAGCGGAGAAGCCTTACGCGTGCAGCGAGTGTGGCAAGAGCTTCTGCTACAGCTCAGTGCTGCTGCGACACGAACGAGCTCACGGCGGTGACGGCCGCTTCCGTTGTCTAGAATGCGGTGAGCGCTGTGCACAGGCTGCCGACCTCCGAGCGCACAGGCGCACCCATGCCGGCCAGACCCTGTACATCTGCAGTGAGTGCGGACAAAGCTTTCGCCACAGCGGCCGCCTTGACCTACACTTGGGTGCACACCGGCAGCGATGCCGCACTTGCCCCTGCCGCACATGCGGCCGCCGCTTCCCGCACCTCCCGGCGCTGCTGCTACACCGGCGTCGTCAGCACCTGCCAGAGCGGCCCCGCCGCTGCCCGTTGTGCGCCCTCACCTTCCGACAGAGCGCGCTGCGCTTCCACCAGGCGCGGGCGCACCCCCCGGGCACAACCTCTGACCCTGCCGCCCCACCCCACCGCTGCGCGCAGTGCCCGCGAGCCTTCCGGAGCGGCGCCGGGCTGCGGAGTCACGCGCGCATCCACGTGCCCCGGAGCCCCGTGCGACCCCGTGCCTCCGACGCCCACCAGTGTGGCGTGTGCGGCAAGTGCTTTGGCAAGAGCTCTACGCTGACGCGACACCTGCAGACGCACTCCGGGGAGAAGCCCTTCAAGTGCCCGGAGTGCGGCAAGGGCTTCCTGGAGAGCGCCACGCTGGTGCGCCACCAGCGCACACACACGGGCGAGAAGCCGTACGCCTGTGGCGACTGCGGGCGCTGCTTCAGCGAGAGTTCCACGCTGCTGCGCCACCGGCGCAGCCATCAGGGCGAGCGGCCACACGCGTGCGCCACTTGTGGCAAGGGTTTCGGGCAGCGCTCTGACCTGGTGGTGCACCAGCGCATCCACACGGGCGAGAAGCCCTTCGCGTGCCCCGAGTGCGGCCGCCGCTTCAGCGACCGCTCGGACCTCACCAAGCACCGGCGCACGCACACCGGCGAGAAGCCCTACCGCTGCGAGCTGTGCGGCAAGCGGTTCACGTGCGTGTCCAATCTCAACGTGCATCGGCGCAACCATGCCGGCCACAAGCCACACAAATGCCCCGAGTGCAGCAAGGCCTTCAGCGTCGCTTCCAAGCTCGCACTACACCGCAAGACGCACCTGGGCGAACGGCCAGCGGAGTGCGCAGAGTGCGGCAAGTGCTTCAGCCACAGCCGCTCGCTGTCGCAGCATCAGCGGGCCCACACGCGCGCCCGCACCGCTGCCGCCGTTGCCATCCAGTCCGCAGTGGGCACTGCCCTCGTCTTCCAGGGGCCGGCTGAACAGGAAAATCCAAGGTTCTTTGTGTCCTAGTTGAGGGAGGCTTGCTGAGGCTTCTCTAAAGGTGGTTGGGAAGCACCTGTATAATACCATGGGGACAGCTGAGGCAACTTGTAGATGGAGGTTTGGGAAAAGACGATGTGGCCTCCCGCCTTCCCAGTTTCTGTTGGCCGCCCTTCACTTGGCCTCCTGCCTCGCCTCTACACCTACTCCCTGTCGGCCCTTTTGCCATCCTGTCCTCGTATAACTCGGATTCTCTCCTCAGGTGTAGGTGCAGGGAGTCCAGGAAACGGACTCCCCTGAGTGCAAGAGCCCAGGTGTTGGTGTGTCCCTTTAACGCCACTGTGCTCTCTGGTGTTTCCGATTTTCCTGCCTTTGTTCTGTCTTCTTTTGTCCCATCTCCTTATTCCAGCCCGCATCTTCTCCTTTCCGGATTACTTTTGTTGTCCTGCCTCTTCAGGTAATGGTCACAGATTTGGCTGTAGTCACGTTACCAGCCCTGTGGCTTCTTAACTCTTGGTTCCCCGTTAACTCTCTGCTTCTGAGAAAGGTGGGTATGGAGGTGGGAAAGCTCACTTCCAGGCAGGATGTCTCCATGCTAGGAGCTGTCTGCACCCTGGCAGAGGTGGCCACTCACGTGAAGGTGGGCAGGGCCCTTAGCATGGCCACACGTCCCCCAGGCAGATCAAGGGGCCTCTCAGAACAATGTTCCCCAGCCAGGTGAGGAACATTTTCACTGGGACTCAGGCCAAAACCACATGGGTCCACAAAGCCAGGCACTGCCAAGTGGAACATGAGGTTATTTCCAAATCATGGGAGCCACCAGTAGGGAGAGGGCAGAATGGAAAATCCCCTGGAGCTGGTCAACAACTTTTTGCTTATGGCTAATGAAATAAAGTTGTTTGTTTGAGTTCTAGATGCCAAGCGCCCCCTTTGTCAAACCTAAGGCTGCTGACCAGAGTTTGGAAGTGATCCATTCAGTTCCAAGGTCTCTTGTACCTTCCCAAGGCAGCTCAGTCATCTTGTGTGGAGGACCACTGATTCCACACTAAAAGGTGAGACTTCAAGGCCTACACATGGGGTTTTCTCTGTTAATGGCAAGTACAAGATGGCTCAGAATCACGTCTTTCTGCTCCAGCCAGTCTGCCAGGAGTGACCCAGCACTCTGCAGATTATCTCTGCCTGCTCTATTTGAGTGTGAGGGTGGGTGTCTTACTCCACAGGAAAGGGCTGCAAAGTGTCAAAGTGAGTCTGGAAAGCGTCAGCGGTGAGGGCCTGCACCTAAGCTGCATTCTGGTACATGGTTTCAAAGGGATCCAGGATTTCTGCACCTCAGGTGCCAAAACACTCGCTCTGCCCACACATGCCTGCATAAAATACTCTGTTTATTTTGTCCTTTAGGAAGACTAAAGTAGTCCAGCTCCCCTACAGCCCAGTCTTGTCCCCACCCTACACTCTGTCGCCTTAGTTCCTGGGGACCAAGCATCTGGTGTTTCTCAAGCAGACCCTCTCCTCATTGCTCCTTTTCAGTCCCTGGAGTCTGGCTCCCCAAAGCCAAAGCTGGAGAGCTCATTGCTGAGGAAGCAGGATTGGAGCCTGAGGAGATGCAGAGGGCCTGGACCCCTCGCTGGATTCCAGAGGCCCAGGGGCAGAGATGCTGGGACAGGGCTCTAGGGAACCACTGGGTGACTCTTGAGGGGCCAGGAGCAGGACTGGGTGACTTTTGCTACGGTGGGCTGCAACACTGTCTGGCTTCTCAAAGCGCTTGCCGCAGAATTCGCAGGGGAAGCGCAAGGCAGCCACCGTCTCTGCATGCTTGCGCTGGTGCCAGTTCAGGGAGGCCTTCTGGCGGCAGGTAAACCCACATATCTCACACCTGGAGTTAGGGACAGAGGAGGGAAGGAACAGACCTCAGGCCATCTTGACTTCCCTAGGGGGTTCCTCCTGCTCCCCAATGCCTAGGTGTCCTATATATGCCTAGCTTCCAGACTCCACCTCCTCCCTTCTGGTCCCTGGCCCTCAGACCCCAATCCAGCACTCACTGCAGGGGTTTTTCTCCAGTGTGGATACGTCGGTGGATGACAAGGTTGCTGCTAGTGCGGAAAGACCGGGCGCAGAACTCACAGATGTAGTCCCGGGTGTCTGCAGGCATATGAGGAACACTCCAGCATCTGCCCCCACCCTGTGGCCCCTCCTTGGCCCACCCCACCCACTATCCCTCACCGGAGTACACCAGTATCAGAGGTCAGGAGGCTCAGGTTCTAATCAGTTGTTATCTGATCATGGAGCCCGTCTGGACCTCCCTTACCTGACGGGTCATGAGGTCCCTTGACCTGATGGGTCAAGTAAGACATGACCTCATTATTGTCCACCCCACCCCCTGCCCACCAATCACACTCAAACCAATGAACTCCCGATGGAGATGCACCACCCCACCTCAGCCTCTAGGCTGGTTCTTTCTCAAAGGAGACCCATGCAATGGAGAGCTGGGTCCTTACGTATGAACTGAAGGCCCTGGGCGGCAGCCAAGCAGAAGCTGGGAGTCCACAATGGGAATTAGGATTGAAGCTCAAAGCCCAAGGACAGACTCTGGCACCTGGAATCATCTACCAGCTATTCAGGCTTGCATATCCCACCTGTCCCAGACCCTATCAGTGCCCAGTGGAACTACCTGTCTGCAGGCAGCCAGTCCCCTCTCCTCTTTTTTTTTCCTGAAACTGCACTCCCTGCTTGTTCCAATAGCACCTGCCTGTTGCCCATGGTCAGTGTTGCCAGCAGCTCTCACAGGCTGCTGTGGCTTCTCTAACCCACCAAACCTCAGGGTCTACAGTAGAAAAGGCATCTCTGCTTTTCATGGTGTCCTTTAGACCACCTCTAACATCACCACCTCTCTGAAGACCCCACCATCAGACCACACAAACACACACCTGCAGCCTCTTCCTTCGGCCCCATCACTCCCCATCCACGTAACTCTAGGTTCAGCCCCTCTACTCCTGTCAGCCACTACTCCTGCTGTCGATCAGCACTCCAGCCCTCTGTTCCCTGACCTCGCTGACCTCATCGCCCACCCTCCTTAGTCACCAGTCTCAGGTCACACCCGTGCACTGCACCACTTCAGAAATTGCTATTTCTTCTAAGATACAGTGGGTTGGGGGGAGAAAAAAAGAAAGTGTGATTTCAAACATCCTGGTTCCTGCCAGGGCCTCCTAGCTTGTGCTCTTGCTCTGATAATCCCATGACTCCAGGCCAGTCCACTGGCCCCACCATCTTCCCTCTGAGCCCCATCCCCGCTCACCTGCATTTCCACAGCCATCTTTGTTGCCTTCTTTCATTCACACTACCAATCTTCCTGTCCCTCTCTCCGTCCACTGTACCTGCTTGGTTAAAGCCCAACTCAGGATAAACACAACTTTTGGTCTGCTCCAGGCCTGCACGTGTGTACTGTAGGGGGCACAGTCTGCCTCTTGGCCACTCTCTTCATCTAGTCACAAATCTTAAGGCCCCCTTCTTGCCCTACTGCGTCTGCATTTCCCTCATCAGTTTACTTTTCCAACTTTCTAGAAATACAGAAGACATTTCACACCACCTCCTCTCTCCACCAGCCTCCAACACCCCCAGCCTACCAGCCTTACTCAGCAGGGCTCGTTTCTAAAGTCGCCAAGAAACTAGAACACCCACATCTTCTGCCCACCAAATCCACTATTCAACTTGCATCTGTGCCTATATAAACAACTACTCAAACTGTTCCCCCCGGCAGCCCTCCACTGTGCCCCTCAAGACTGACCCCTTCTCACTTGAGGTCCCCCACTCCACTCCAGCATCAGCAGTAAGCCTTTCTCTATGGAATCATTCCCATCTCTGTGCCCTGAGCCCACAGCCTTCCAACTAACGCTCCCTTTCTCTGCCCATCCTCACAGCAAAACACAGAGCTGTCCATACTTGCTGTCTCCACTCTGCCTTGAACGCACATCTGGTCACCTGTTCTCAGCTCACATTTGGCCTGTCGCACTGGCAATCATCCCCCCTTCCTCCCTGAAGCATTTTCTATACTCAGCTCCTCAGATACCACTCTTTCCATCTTCCTCACTACTCACCTGGCTTGTCCTCTGATGGCTGGAGTGCCCTGACACTCACTTCCTCTATCTAGGGACACTCTGGCCTCATGGCTCTAAATACCACCCATATGCTCATGACCCACACATTTATATTTATATTTTTGTCGGACATCTTCCCTGATCTCCACATTCACATCTCCTGGATGTTTAATTAGCACGTTTCAAATCAAATTTCCCTTCCCAAGACCATTTCTCCCTTGTTTGCAGAAAAATCACATCACCTTCGGCATGGTTGCTGAGGCTGGAATCCTCCAAATTACCCAACTCCTCCCTGCCCACTCAGCTGTAGCCAACCCATCCTTCCCACAGCAGCCCATTTGGCTCCATCTGCACACACACTGGCCTCCAGCCACTCCTCACTGACTCAGCTGCTACCAGCAAATCCAGGCACCACCTTGCCCTCTTGCGCATCTCTGCAGTCATCTCACAGTTGAGTGCCTGGTTCTGCTCATCTGAGGTCCCCCTATTCACACAGCAGCCACAATGGTTTTTTAAAAAGCCATGTCCCTCTGCCATTCAAGACTGCGATGGCACCCATCTCACTTAAAGCAGACGTCACACTGTCCTGTGGATGGTCTCAGAGGCATCCACCAACTATGTGACTTCTCTTCCTTTCTCAGCTCCTGGCCTTCCTATTCCTGGAACATGTCACCCAGATACCACCTAAGGGCCTTCCCACAGGCGCTGTCCATAGTCTATAAGGTGCAGGTCTCCATTCCTCACTTAAGTCTTTACTCAAAGCATCTTCTCTTTCTACAATAGCAACTCCTCCTTATGCTCTCCTCGTTTCCCTAGCTTCCACTTTTCTTCGTAGCCCTGTATCACTAAAGTGGATGTCTCAAGAGGGTTAGCGCTGCCTACTCTGTTCATTGCTGTACCCAGTACCCAGAACAGTTTAAAACAAGCAGGTGTTCAACACACAGGGCATGCAGGATGAGTGAGAATCATCCCTCGGAGGGAGGTGAAGAAACCCACAGAGTGGGAGCTGACAGGACCCCATAGAGGGGGACGTGAAGAAACCTACAGAGCCCGGGGTGACGGGGCCCAGAGGAAGGTGGAGCTCCACCACTCACCACTGTGCAGCTTCATGTGCTCCTTCAGGTGTTTCTTAAAGTTGAAGGACTTCCCACAGGCTGGCTCTGGGCAGGAGAAAGACTTCTGGTGGATGTGCTGGTACTTTTTGTGGTGCTAGAGAAGGAAGTGGGTGGTAGGGAGAGAAGAGGCAAAAGGATAGCCACCCCCCACAGGGAGATCAATTGAGCTGACCCAGCAGGCATGCTCCTCTGTCCCCTTCCTGGCCCTGTGCCCCAGCAGTTCTCCCTGTCATGGCTCATTTCCTTGAGGCTCAGTCCTCACCTCCACCATGAGCCCCACGCCCATCCCATCCTGACCACTCAACTCTCCTGTCACCCTGTTCTGTGCTTGACTTCCATGATCTCAGCTCCTTGTCACACTCTCACCCTGCAATGTTCCCTGTACAAAGTATCACTCTGGGTGATACCCCAGGTTTACCTAATCATGAATGCACTACCTGCTGTGGAGGGGAAAGTAGTTTGGGTAAGTATGATTATCCTATTTAATGTCAATATTCATGTGCAACAGTATCTCCCCAACTGCCTGCTTTTTAATACTTCGCCATGGATATTTATGTGATTTTCTTCTAAATCTGCTTGGGAAACACACACACACACACACACACACACACACACTTTCAACCTAGAACACTATTAAGGGTAACAGGCTCTTCAACCTTAACTCCTAAATATCGAAGGTATTTCTCTTTTCACTGGCCTAAGTTGGCATCCTCGCTCACTAAACTGCATGGGCTGTCCCCTTCTTTAGAATCCCGTTTTTCCACAGTTAAACTTCCAGGGGCTGCTTTGGTCTCCTCCATAACAGACTCCAGAAGGTCTGACATGCCCTGCTGAATGCTCTTCTCAGCCTAGAGCTTCCCTGTCATCCCAGTTGTTCTCCCTTTTCACTGGATTCCTCTGTCATCTTCTGTGGGCAGCACTCTCCCCGTCTTCTACCCTCACCTCACCATCCCAGTGTCTGTGGCCCTCCCCAGCCTTGGCACCTGCTGTTCCAAGTGCTCTGTCTGACTGTAGGGATTGGACCCTTCCCCCTCTGTGCCTCAGATTTCTCAGCCAGTGAGTAAGATTGGGGACAGGACCATCTCCTAGCCCACTTCACTCTAGGAATATCCTCTCAAGCCAGGAGATGAGGCAGCCCAGGCATGGACTCTGAAGCCAGGCCACCAGGCTCAGAACCCTAGCACTAAGACACACTAGCTGAAGAGCCTTGAGCAACGTCTAACCTTTCTGTCTGCAAAGTGGGAATAATAACAGCACCTAATCCATGGGGATATTGTGAGAACCAGAAGACTTCACACATGTCAAGTGCCCAGGACTGTCATTAGCACCTCCAGGGAAGCCTGATGCATGCCACTGTCACCTCTGTGTGGCCTCCATGGAACAAGTAGAGGGCCGTGGCTCCGTGCGCCTGAGGCATGGTTTCATCTACCAGTTGTCTGATTCAATGATTACTAATTATAGGAAAGCTCTGCATGTCCATCATAACCCTCTGCTTCCCAGTTCTGAATCCTCCCATGCCTTAAGATCCTTTTCCTCAGTTTCTCTTTTAGCCCTTTTCCCCCCACCCCAGCAGCCACACAGGCCCCAACCTGTGCCCCTCACATTCAAATACTGCCGGTTGGAAAAGATCCTTCCACAGCCAGGGAAGTCACAAGGCATCAGCTCTCTTTTGGCAGCTTTCCTGGGGAGAAGAATGGAGAGGAGCAGGATGACTCCTGCCTGCCCTTCTCTGCCTCCCTCCTGTGGGCCCTCCCCAGAACCCCATCTCCCCAAGTCCTACCTAATTCTCTTGGGGCCAATCTGTGCAGTGTCCTCATCCCAGGCCGGGGTTGGAGCAGACTGGGCCTGACTCCCAGTGCTATGGGCAGCAAAGAGGGAGCAGAGGGCCTCGAGGGAGGGCCACATCCCAGAACGCCCCTGCCCTTTCTGTCTCAGCCATCAGGTTACCTGGCCAGGGCCTCAGTCTGCTGGGCTGCTTGAGGGGTCCTGCTGAGCTCCGGCTGCACCCCGACTTCTGCAAGTGGAGGAGCTCTGGAACCCAGTGAGGATGCTGACAAGGACGGCACAGCAAGAGGAGTGGAGAGTGCTGCAGGGGCTGGTGGTGTCTCCCCCTCTTTAGGCGTGCAGGTGACAGGGGAAGGGAGTAGTCTGGGGGCATCAGGCTCACTACTGAAAGGAGAACAAAGAGGAAGATGGCATTAACTCTCTGGGCAGTCAGCTAGCCCCAGCCCGACCCTAGCCCCTAAACTGAAAAGACCTCAAACCTGAAACAACCCTACCCCCACCCTAGGCTCCCCATTCATATCTGCTTTCAGCCCTCAATCTCCCTGCACCTGACTTCACCCCTTTTCACCCACGCAGTTCAAAGCCTCTAGTTCTTTTTGCCTTCCTCAAAACCCACCCTTCCCTCCACACCAAGCCCTTCCCTCTAGTCTGTAAAGCTATGAACTGCCAGGCCAGCTGCCTCCCTCTCTTGCTCTGCTCAGCATTCTCCCTCAACCCCAACTTGCTCATCTGGGGAGGAGCTGTAGGTCCATAAGCTGGCATCACTGAGCATCTCCTCTTCATCCTCATCATCGTCCTCTTCTTCCTCACCCTCTTCCTCTCCTGGAGGTGGGAAGGTCTCTGGTGGGGGTCCCACCCTCCTGCAGGCCCAAAGAAGGCAAGTCTGAGGTCCTGCTCCCTCATCCTACCATCTATGCAATTCCGCCCTTTCCCTCCTACCCACATCCTCACCTGGGCAACCTGGCCTCTTGAGTCCTCTCATCATGCTCAGATTCCAAATCTGTGGGACAGGCAAAGTCAAAAGGGAAGGAACTCTGGACTCAAGGGATGAGGACATGTAAAGTTCTAAGGTCTGAAGTGATGGGAGACTCCTCTTTTTTTTTTTTTTTTTTTAAATAGAGATAGGGTCTCACTGTGTTGCCCAGGCTGGTCTCAAACTCCTGGGCTCAAGCAATCCTCTTGCCTCAGCCTCCCAGAGTGCTAGGACTATAGGTGTGAACCACTGCACCCAGGCAGAGACTCTTGAGGAGGAGGGAGCAGAGGCTATTGGAGTAGGAGGAGTTGTTCTATTTCAGAGATGATATTCACACAGTTCACAAAACTATACAGTCAAAAATCTCCTTTCCAATACTGTCCCCCCATCGCCTACTTCTTCCCACAGGCAACCTGGTTTCCTATGTGCCTTCCAGAGATATGTTATACATTCACAAGTACTTACACACACACACACACTCATTTTCCCCTTATTTGTATTTTTCACCAATGATAGCATACCATACACTGTATTTTGTTCTGCTTTTCGTGCCCAACAATGTATTTGATGATATATTTCTTTGTCAACATAGAGTTTTTCCATTGAAAAAGGATGATTTTTAGAGAACAGGGTTCTGAGCCACAGAAAATGGGAAACCTCTTTCCTCCCTTTTCTCCACAACTCTGCTTTTTCCCAGCCTACCTGCAAGCTCCTGCCCACTCGTGGCCTCAGAACACCAACTTCTCCGGGTAGTATGTGGAAGGGAGGCTGGCTTGGGTGCCTCTGAAGGTGTGGGGCTCAAAGAGGGTCCCCAGGAGAAGGTATGGCCTGCTGAGCACTCCCACACAAGCCCCCCATCTTGGCCGCCAGGCCCCCGAAGGCCGGGCACCAGGCTGCACTCTCGGCTGTGGGCATGAGACAAGAGCACCAGATACTGCAGACGTTTTGGAGGCAAAGGCTCAGGACCTGGAGGGGTGGGGGAAGCAGTCAGGCTGAACTGGGAAGTCTCCTCCTCTCACCCTGGAAAGCCATACCCAGGGAGCCCTGTTCCCTCAAACCCCAGGGCAACCTCAGCCACAGTCCAATTTATCATTCTTCAGAACCTAGACACACTGGATCCTGAGACATTGCTCCCTTCCCCACCCAGAGGTTGCTCCCATCAAACTACCCCGTGCTCCCCAACTCACCCCACCCTTCCCAAACTCACTCAGGGCTCCCTTTGAAAGGAGGGTGTTTCTGGGTCACCCTGTGGCCCCTCTTCCCTCTGGCTCTCACCCCCTGCCATCCCCTACCTACCTGCACAGAGGACACAGCCTGAAGAAGTGTACCTGCCAGGAGGAGAAGAGGCAGGTCAGGACTCAGGTGGCCAGCCACCCTCGGCCCTGGGCACTCACGCATGTAAGGGGCCAGCCCTAAGGGCCGCTATTCGCTGAGACCATGAGGAGGGGAGCAGGACCCTGGGAGGCCACAAGTCACACAGGCCGTCCTGGTACAGTGAGAAACCTGAGGGTGGAAAAGAGCAGCAGGACAGGCCCTGGAGAGGAGGCTAGGGGCTGCTGCCTGGGTACCCTCCCCCAAGCCCCTCCCCCGGCCCCTCACCGGTCCAACAGGAACTTGGCGAGCTGCGAGTGCAGGGAGAAGCCCAGCCGCTCCTTGAGGAGGCACCACTGCTCCATGTGGCCGCCCAGGCGGATGCGGCACTTGCTGCGGCGCGCGTCCAGCTGCCGCCGCTTCTCCCGCCGCCTGCAGGACACGTCCACCGCCGGGGAGGAAGCCATGTGCACCAGAGGCTGGAGGGTGGAAGATGTCTTCAGCGCCCAGCCGATCCTGGGGGTCGAGGACCCGGCTCCACCTGTCGTTGGTGCCTCAGTTTCCTCATCAGTGAGGAAGACTCACTCATCTATGCAATTCCGGGGCAAGACTAAACTATTTCAACAGCAGTGGCAGGTGTGGAGCAAACCCCGTCCTTCTGTGCTACAGGGTGTGGAAGCTCAGCGCTACCATGTGGGTGTCGTCGAGGGGGAGGCCGGCAGACACAAGCAGGCAGAACAAAGGCCTGCGCCCTCCAGTCCACTGAAGTGGAGCCGTGGGGAAGGGGCGAGAGACTTTCACGGGAAATTTCAACTGGGCTGGAGGGGTCCACACATTTCATCTTGAAGAGGACAGCGGCCTTTACTGCTTTGTAGGGGAAGGAAAGGTCGCGTCCTGGCGTGCTCCTGGGAGCGCTCTTCACAGTTGGGACGAGTGACGGTGGGGCCGGGGTCAGAGGTCTGGAAGGCGCCCCCCACCCCGTCTTGGGCACCCCCACTTAATGCTGGCAGTGAGTGGAGCGGACCAATCCCAGTGGCAGCTCCCAGGTTGCCCAGAACCCCGTCGCGACCCACCCCCACCCCGACATTACCTGTGCGCCCCCACTCGCCCTCACCCCGACTGCGCCTGCGCCTGCGCCTCCCGGACGAGGCGAGCAGGCCCGGAGCTGCTGGAAGACAGGGGCCCACCTCGCGCGCGCAGCGTTTCTCTTTTAAGAAGAAACGGTGCTTCTCCGCGTCGGCTGCGGTATCCCGGAACTGAGGCCCGCGCCCCAGAGGGAGGGGCGAGTCGGAGGCCGACGGCGTGCGCCTGCGCACTGGGTGCCCCGCGCAACGCCCGCCGGGAACCGTGGTTCCCCGACTCGAGTCGCCCGCGCGTGTCACGGAGCCCCGCGGCAGTTGTGGTTGTGTCGCTTCCGTGGTGAGCGTCTGCGCTTGGTGACCAAAGGTTTGAGGGAAAGTGGAAGAGACAGGGTCAGGCCTCCTGCGCTCCAGCCCCAGCCCATCGGCCTGTCTGGGGGCGTTGCCTCTTCGCTTGTTCCAGTTTTGTATTCACCTTCCATTTCCCCCTCACAGTTGCCGCCCGCAAACGTGATGCAGAACCAGTCACTTTGAAAGCCAGCTGGAGCCCTCTGGACCGCAGAGTCCCACAGTCACAGCCCACTTCTATTAGCATCAGGATTCCTCCTCAAAGTCGCCTACATTCTCTGTGGACTCTCGCTTCCCATCCTCTTCTCTTCAGATGGCTCTGATGGAGCTTTCCTCCCCGCCCAGCCACTGCAGTGGCGCTCCACAGGGTCACTGGCGACGGTCATCTTGCCACATAGCAGCTGTCAGTTCTGTCCGCCTCCCTGCCCTAGAAAGAGCGCGACTATGTAGCTCGCGTCTTCCTCATCCTTATGGCTCCCTCTACATTTTTTGGCCCCAGTTTTACTTCTGTGACTTCCTATGCTCCTGGTTTTCCACCCTCCTCACTGGCTCCCTCTTTCCTTTTTTTGGATCCATTCCCTCTGTTCTGCCAAAAGATGAAGTGTGCCCTGGCTCAGGCCTTGAACCAGATCTTCTCTCGTCTGCAGATGTTCTCCTGGGTGATCTAATTAGGTCTGTGGATTTAAATACACGATGGCTCCTAGCCTAGCCTTCTTTCAACTCCAGTCATGTATCTTACTGCCCACTTGACTTACCTGTGTTAACTGAGCTAACACATGTAACGAATTTAGGACAGTGCCTGGCATGTAGAGAGCACTGACACATGATAGCTGATATTTTCTCCAACATAAATATGGCAAACATGTAACAATAATGCCTGTACCCTCCACCATGTCAGTAAACGATGTCATCATCCACCCCCTTGCTCAGAAAAAAAGGGAATCAGTCTTGATTATTTGCCTTTTATGACACCTAAACTATATACATCAGCAAATCTTGTTGATCCTGTCTCCAAAAATTTATCTTAAATCCAATCACTTCCGACCCTCTCAATTGCTAAAACCCTACTCCAAGCCACTGGTATTAATTTTCTGTAACTGTTGTAATAAATTGTGTTGTTTTCAGCCACAAACTTGCTCCCTTTAGGCAGATTTATTTTCTCATGGTTCTGGAGGCCAAAAATCCAGATCAAGGCATCAGCGGGGCCACGGGCCATATAAGGGCTCTAGAGGAGAACCCTTTCCTTGCTGCTTCTGGCTTCTAATGGTGGCCAGCATTCTCTGACTTGTGGCCACATCACTCCAATCTCTGTCTCTGAGGTCACATTGCCTCCTTCTGTGCCAAATCTCCCTCTGGTTCTCTCTTACAAGGATGCTTGTGAATGCATTTAGAGTCCATCCTTATAATCCAAATAATCACTTCATCTCAGTATCCTAAAGCAATTACTTCTGTAAAGTATTTGCCATATAAAGTAATTGGCTGCATATGGTGGCTCACGCCTGTAATCCCAGCACTTAGGGAGGCCGAGGCGGGTGGATCACTTGAGGTCAGGAGTTCGAGATGTGCCTGGCCAACATGGTGAAACCCTGTCTCTACTAAAACTACAAAAAAAAAAAAAATTAGCTGGGCATGGTGGCATGGACCTGTAATCCCAGCTACTCGGGAGGCTGAGAGCTGAGGGCAGGAGACATTGGCTTGAACCTGGAGGAGGAGGTTGCAGGACCGAAAATGGCTACTGCACCACCAGCATGAGGGACAGAGCAAGGACTCCACTCTAAAATAATAAAAGTAAGATTGTCCACATGTTCTGGGATTAGGGACACAGATATCTTTTCCAGGACTATTTTAGCCGTTATGATACACCTATCTCTCACCTTGGTCTATGGTCCTACATCTTCCGTAATCAGTCTATGCTCTGACAGTCTGCCTCCTATTTAACTTGACCCTCACAAGAGCAGGGGATGATTTCTCAAAGTCAAATCTCTTTGTTAAAGATGTGTAAGGTGTTGTCTCAGTGCAATCCAAAACCCTTATCGTGGCCTCAAGGGCCCAAACTTATCTGTGGCCTTGGCTTTCTTTCTTGGCAGTCATCCCCAACTTTTCGCCCACTTTGTCCTCCCTACCATTTTTGCTATTTCTCAGTGTGCCATGATGCTGTGGAGGGAGTTCTTTTGGTCTCTGGAGCACTATTTCTCCCACGCCCCCGCCCTCCCCGCCCACCACCAACTTTTTCATCTGTTTGCTCCCTTATTGTCATGTGAATCTCTATATGAGATCCCCCTCAGCTATGAAATCCTCTTTCAGAAAGCTCCCTTTCCTCAGTCCATGCTCTATTTCACTGTGCCCTATTGTATCTTCTTTGTGGCACTTACTTTCTAAATCATCTCAGGACTTGTCGTGTGTGTTTGTTTTGGTTATACGATGATGTTGACTAGGCAGCCTTTCCTCTGCAGCCCTAAATATATCAAATGACATGGTGTTCAAACATGAACACCCTTAGGATGAGCCCAGTGTGTCTGTGCATATTCCCTTTTTGATTTGTGGTATCAGTGACTCAACCTCTTGTCTGACTAGTGTAAGGTAGGAAAGAAAGATGTCCAGTACTTTACTCATTAATGAAAGTGTAACTTTTTACATCAAAAGAGCAGGACTCCATCAGAGCAAACTTTATCCTTTCTCAAGGTCCCTAAAAAGATAATCTGCAAAATCCTTGTGATTTCATCAAAGGGAATGAAAGGTCTTATAACTTGGTTACTCTTAGAATGTTGGGTCTCACTTTGAGGTTCAGGAACATTCTTGATTCTCTTGGTTTGATCTTCTTTAAATAATAAAAATGAGGCCGGGCGGTGGCTCAAGCCTGTAATCCCAGCACTTCGGGAGGCCAAGACGGGTGGATCACGAGGTCAGGAGATGGAGACCATCCTGGCTAAACAGGTGAAACCCCGTCTTACTAAAAAATACAAAAACTAGCCGGGCAACGGTAGCGGGCGCCTGTAGTCCTAGCTACTCAGGAGGCTGAGGGGCAGGAGAACGGCGTAAACGGGGAGGTGGGTGCTTGGCTGAGATCCGGCCATTGCACCCCAGCCTGGGCGACAGAGCAAGACTCTGTCTCAAAAAATAAATAAATAAATAAAATAAAATAATAAAATGAAACTACTGCCAATGCCCAGCTCTTCAATAACCCTCTCCAAATAAATCTCTCAGCCTCTTTTTAATTTCTTATATCATCTAGGTAAGGAATGAGCCAACTCTCCCAAAAACAGTCACCAGCCCCTTCCTTTGTAATTGCTGCAAAGGAGTGCTAACATTCTAAGGAGGGGTTATCTGTAAACATTGGTTCTCTGCCTTTAGTGACCTCATTGCAGTCTGAGACCTTGAATTCCATCTTAGCATCCCATTACAAAGGCTAAGATTAAATGCAAGCTATTGATAATGTTATGACCGTTGAGCTATACAGTTTGCAGACTGCTGAAACTGCCAATTCTTTTATACACATCAAAGGCTCCATGTGGAGGACACATTTATCTTCATAACATTTATTTTTCCTGGACTACGCATGGCACCATAGCACTCTTCTTATCTTCTGTCTTGGCATAGCCAAATCTAATATTGCTGTACCCTCTGAACTTTTAGTATCTTCTCTCCAAAGAGAAAAACTACTTTCCATTCCTCGGGTCCAGGGAGGAATGAGGCAAATTGCTACAGAAGTTGAGTCAACCCACTGCCCTCAAATCCTGAGAGGTATTCCCAGTGGGAAAAGGAACACTCCTTCAGGACTTTGTGCCCCAAATTCCACGAGACCCACAGACGCCCTCCGCCCAGCCCAGGTTCCAAGTATTTGAATGAATTCTCTCTTTCTCAGCTCTCATCCTCTCAGTGACTGGTGTCTTCATCCTCCAACCAGTCATCATTGCTGGGAGTGCAATTCCGTTTCTCCTGAGCCCCTGACAACTGAAGGGTGATGCCTCTACCCTGAGTCTGATGACGCCCTAGTGCGGCGGACCTGGGCCCTCTGTGATGCCGTGTGGCCCAGGTAGGGCGGAGTGGTATATAAGAGATGCCCTTGGCCGGGCGCGCTGGCTCAAGCCTGTAATCCCAGTACTTTGGGAGGCCGAGACGGGCGGATCAGGAGATCGAGACCATCCTGGCTAACACAGTGAAACCCCGTCTCTACTAAAAAATACAAAAAAGTAGCCGGGCAGGGTGGCGGGCGCCTGTAGTCCCAGCTACTCGGGGGTCCGAGCCAGGAGAATGGCACATACCCGGGAGGCGGAGCTTGCAGTGAGCCGAGATCCGACCACTGCACTCCAGCCTGGGCGACAAAGCCAGACTCCGTCTCAAAAAAAAAAAAAAAAGAGATGCCCTTGCCCTTGCTCCTGGCTGGCCCAGCTGCCTGGGTTGGTGCTGTTAGCTTTGGCTCTGGGCCGGAGGGCAGACGACGTGAAGGAGGAGGAAGCCAGCCGCCAAGAGACTGGCCGTGGGAAACTCGGCGTCTGCGGGGGTGCTTGCCGCTGTGGAGCTCGCGACGCCGGCCGCGGAGCCACACGCTGCTCCTGGTGCTGAAGCAGCAGCTGCGCCCCTCGCTGTGGTTGTGCTGATGGCAGCAGCAGCCCGTCTAGAGTGGCCACTGCCGTGATGCTGCTGCGGTGGGGGAGGCGGCCCGCTCCAGGAAGCAAGTGGGAGCCAGGAACAGGCAGAAGCCCCGCCCGCTCCTGAGTTGACTGGGTGGGGGCTTGGCGCTCCTGGGTGCAGCTGCTGCCGCCCTGCTGTGGCAGCGGACCCAGGCCTCCCTGTGCTCTTGGGGGCCAAAAGCAGCCAGGAGCCCCGCCCTCCCAGGCAGAGCTACTGCGGCTCAAGCTGTG